AGGGACATGACTTGTCATTCAAGAGGCAGCAGGTGTCTAGGCGTCCTCTCAGTGGAGTCATGGACACATTCCATGTAATGACATCACAAATATGAAATGTCAGTCTGAGAAGTTCACCTGAATACCAGTGATGAGGGCTTTCCTTTTCTTTCTTTTAAAATGGGGAATCTGTCAAAAAGGTGCAGACTGTCAACCTGACTAATCTTACCACTTCATGCTTCAGTCTCCTAGAGCAAAGAAATGCTGAACATAAATCCCTTTTCTAGCAGTTACTCATTGATCACACTGTCAAATTATAATACAAATTAATCTCCTAGGAAGCAGACAAGAGGTCCTAATTAGAAGATTTTTCCAGATTGTGCTTACTTCTTATAATGATATATTACCATCCTTTGGTTATGTTTCCAAGCAAGCATGTTCACCTGAACCTTGGTGTCTTAGGTTTATATTGGGTCAGTTTACACACACACACACACACACACACACACACACACACACACACACACTTTCATGATTGATCTTTGCTACTTAGCCTCTGTTTCCCAGGGAACACAGATATTCATAAATCATTTTGCTAAATACACTATCTGATCAAACAAGTATTTGATTGGCCCAAGTTCTTACACATACAAACCATTCTTTTCAGTCAGGAATGTTAGTTCAGAACTTGTTTCCGCAAAGAACCAGTCTGGAAGACAGGGAAATCTTGGGAATGTGCGAAGTTTGAGTAACCCGAGCCATATGGTGACCTTTTCTACACGCCTATATTGTTCAAAGTCCTTCAGAAGAAACACAATGAACCATTGTAGACTCTTGCAGATATAGTGGATTGTATTAGGGGATGGGAACATTTTGTGCTCGGAAGGAAGTACCCATCCCTCATGATTGGTCAGCATAAATACAGCTTGAGAAGTGAACGTGGTGAAAAGTCAACAGGTCCTGGAATTCTTGGTATGTCGAACAAGATAGTAGGGATGCTCAAGGTTTATGACAGATTTTTTTCCACACTGGGTAGGCTTTCGTAAGCAAGACATAAAGCACAGACAGGAAGGTGGTAGTGACTTTTGAACTTGGTTATTTAACAAGTTATGTCTATAGCATAAATGATGTGGCAGCAATGAAACTGGGACACAGAATACAGGAAGTTGAGGAGATCGTTAGAAAAATATAAACTGGATAAATTAGAAAACGAACCTTTCTTGACTCCATCAGAGAATTGAGGTAGGTGGTGAGAAAAAGTCAGATCTAGTACAGCCATTTTCTAGTAGCCACAGGCTATGGTCTGGCTGACTTCTAATAGAGAACAGAAAATGCGGTGGCTCTAGAGCAGTAATTCTCAACCTATGGGTCACGATCCCCTGGCAAATCTCCAAAAATATTTACATTACAACTCACAACACTAGGAAAATTAAAGTTATGAAGAAGCAACAAAAATAATTTCATGGCTTGGGGTCACCACAACACGAGGAACTGTATTAAAGCATCACAGCGTCAGGAAGGTTGGGAATCAGAGCTCTAGAGGTATTCAGTTCAACTTCTGATGAAATGTTACAGCTGAATGTGGACTAACTCTAGAGCATTTAGACAACGCTCCATCAGAATAAGAGAGCTCAAATACACCTCTGGACTTGTGGAGATGAGCCTACATTGGACATACATGAGAAGACACACATACATGACAAGAGACAATCTTCAGATTGAATTCCCATTGAACGAATCTCAATCTGTTCATGGACACTTATGCCACAATTAAAGCATCGTATTGGCTGACAGGAAATTGTTCAACACGGTCAATAAAATCAATTTGGTAATATTGCTTTTCAAATTACACAAAACTTTGTCTAAATGAAGAGCCCTACATATCATGACAAACTCCTTTCATGTTCTTGCACTTTGTCTTATGACCATGTGTTTTGACTAAGCAGGCCAAGAAGTGACACAAAATGGAAAACATGATTTTGTGGCTAGCCTGAGCCATGTTGAAAACCAAGGAGACTGGAAGAATTGTGCATTTCAAAACTGGTACCAAATGTTGGTTAGACTGGCTGCCCATAATTTCCAAAGAGCCAAGAACTGTTTGGTGAGTATTGTCTACTACACCAAAGTACAGACAGACCCAAGGTTTCTTTCAATTAGCGTGTTCTCATGGCTTATCCATACTATAAAACCAATACCTCATTTTTCTTTATGGATGAATATATCACTGCATGTGAGGATCACCTTTTGCTTAGATATTTTGGTTGTGTAGCTATTATTTGCACTATGAATATTCATGTTGAAGTTTTGATGTGAATGACTTCCTAGTCTTTGAAAATTACAGCTAACTATGAACTCGTTACATAAAAAATCCCAGTTTTTGGTTTGCTTTTTAATGTGTGTATGATACATGCATGTATGTACACAACTGTGTGCCCATGCAGAGACCAGAAGTGGGTGTCATCCCTTTGGAGCTGGAGTTACAGGCCTTTTGCAGGACGCCATCCATCTCATGGGTGCTGAGATTTCTGGTTCTCATAAAAACTACACAGCAAATGCTCTCATCTTTGAGCTATCTTTCAAGCTCCTCAATCTTTTATTTCCTGTTCTTCAAAGTGCATAATCTCAATCAACAGAGGGGCCCTTCTCAACATTTTAGTTTGGAAACTGCACTTTCTAACTTCAAAATTTTCTTGAGTTAGCTTAATCTCATTTTCAATCCGCCCACTTCAGTCTTGAGTGTTACCATACAGGCAATGTGGATCATACCTTTTCAATTTCTAATTCATTATTTTATTTTTAGCTGCAACACATGCCCTTCCTCAATTTCTGCTTATGGCTGCTTCCTGCCTACTTGTGCATATCTTATTTTGTTGAAAATATGACACATTAAATACTTGGAAAATCAGTCCGCTATGCCTGTTTAAGGCTGGTGATGGTTTGAGTTATTTTTGTAAAGTTGAGTTCTTCTGATGTGTAAGGCCACTGCAGTCTGCTTCATGTAGCCTAGTGTTGTGCTAACTCAATAGATTCCCTTAAATGCCGGAAGCAGTACTTGTTGAGTGTCTGCACAGACATGTTCTCCTCACTTATCCATCGGGGTGTGCCAGGGGAGAGTTGAGGGTGCTCCAGTTCAGACCTGAGCAGGCACTCATAGCCTGTGCTTGTGCATGATTAACTCCTAGAAAATGACAGAAACTTCCAAAGCCCTATGAACAGATATTGACTTCTTCAGATTTCGCTCTAGGCTTTTTGGTTAAAGTACTGTTTACCTCAACGGATTTATTCTTCCTATGGCAGCCATGTCAAACTATCTGTGTTTTTGAAACTAAGGAAGCTCTTACCCCCACCAAATACACATGTGGGTGACTTCCAGTGAGTAATCATCCAGTCAAGCAGTTCTTAGGAATGTCCCTGTAGACACAGATGTGAGATTGTTTATTGCCGGTGGGTGCCAGGCTACTCTTCGCTGTGATAATGCACAGTTGGTTTTCAAGGCTACCATGGGTCTATAGTAGGGGATGGGTAAATTAAGTTGTGACAACCATCACTGTTTTATGCCAGAAACTGGTAGTTTCTGACACAAACACTTCCTGATTCTGACACAAACACTGCCTGAATTACGGCAAGACTAACTCCTAAGTTTAGAGAACTCAGTTGGTTCCAGGAGTTTTGAGACCATGTCATCAGCTTAGAGAAAAACAAGAAAACAAGTTCTAAGTGACTGCAGAGTCAGCTAACACAGACCGCTCTCGGGTTGAAATACTACAGAAGTATGCCTCCCCACTGAACAGTGTGAGGTGTGATGATGTTGGTAGAACTTGTGAGGCTAAATATCGAAGAGGAAGGATCGAGATCTGCAGATGGGTTCCCTCCTATGCAATGTGTAGGAGCTCACAGAGGCCCAGGCAATTTGTGGTACTAGAACAATATTCTAGTATGGCAATATGAGCCATAAACCAGGGGTTTCAACCTTTGAATCATAACATTTTAGGCTCAAAACCCAGACATGTTTACACTAGAGAGAGTTCAGCAGTGTATCTACACCATCTGTTAGCTGTAGTACCTTTTCTGTAATAACACAAGCATCTCCAGACATTAGGGCAAAGTCACCAGACACTGAGCAGCCCTACCCTATACTAGCAGCTGTTCCACCTGGAGTCACTGCAGCAAAGCAGGAGTAAGCCAGGTGCGAAGAAAAGTCCACTGCCATTGTAAAGCCTCCATGGCACAACAGCTGCAGTAAATGTAAATGCTGGCTGGCATCTCTGACCCCTAGCTGGAGTTAATATTCTCAGGCAGACTTGCAAATATTTTAGGAGCACTCCCAACTTTAGTTTGGGTAAGTCTGGGGTACACACAGACATTTTCCTTTCACTTTGTGTATTTGTGCGTATGTGTGCGTGTGTGTGCATACATGCATGGAATGATGTACAGACTGAAGAAAAAACACCCCACATCTATAGCACAATCTGAATTCCATTGTTCTAGCTACTGACATTCCTAAGTTCGTAAAACAGAACTGAGTGGAAGGCCTTACTTTCTTCTAAGAGCACTAACGTGCAGGCAACATGGAATTCTGTCAGCTTTCCTTAACTAACCAATGATCTTTTTATGTTTTCCACACTAGTAAAATAAAAACCTTTCAAAAAATTCTTTGCCCCTAGAGTTACCTAGGTGGCTCTTTAAGGGTTCCATGTCCTCTACTAAGCCACTTTAATCCCATCTTCTTCTGGAACTTGTCCTTTAGGTTAACCCTTGAGGACTCTTCTACAAACATTTCAATGCAAGGCATGACGGAACACACCTGCTTCCCAGCACTGGGAAAGTAAAAAACAAGGCTAGTCTGAGACATACAGCAAGCTCCTCAATGATAATGCAAGCAGAAGACCTAGTACGTCTAAGGTCCTAGGTTCAATTCCCAGTACTGTGCCCTCAAACCAATATATAGCTAGAATAACTAGACACCATGTTCTTCTTTCCTGTATCACAAACATTTTCTATCCAGTACTGTTAACATATACAAAGTGGACAGAAGAAATTAGGATTTCTAGATATATATTCTTCTTCATTAAGTGGAAATACTTATTGCAGGGGTATAGAGAACTCAGTTTTTGATTACTATACATAAGCAAGCTGCTTAAACACTACATTTTTAACATATCTTAATATTTTTATGACATCATTGTGTGTGAGTGTATACACAAGCATGTGCCACACTATGCACGTGCAGAGAACAACTTTTGTGAGTTGGCTCTTGTCCTTACACTATGAGAACTTCAGGGGTCATGAGCTTTGCAGGAGTGAACCATCTTATCAGCCCCGTTTTGCCTTATTTTTAAGACAAGAGGTAAAGATTAACTAGTGAAATAAATTTCATAATCATGGATGATAGGACCTAAAATTCTGTAACTTCTAAATTATATAAGAAATAATTTGGGGCATACACTCTTATAAAACAAATTTAGAGATCTGTAAAAGATTATATAAATACTCCCCAAACTCACACATAAAATGAAAGAAAAACAATATATTTTTTAACTTTCAAAGGGACTTATTTAAATAGACAAAATAAAAAATTTTGACAGAAAAGGTAGCAATCAATCAATCAATCATCAAATGTGATTTTTTTCCCCTGAAACACGGCGATTCTGGACTGCTGCTCTTTCCGCCTCCTGCTCGCTTCCCAAGAAGGGTGCAGAGGAGCCTGCACCTGCTGCCTCACACGCTCAAAACCTCTGCGTGCACTCTTTGCAAACTCATTCTTGACTGGAAGTTCATCTTCTGGAAAATCTGGGAAGAAAAAGAAAAATTGCAACTAAATATACCTGAAAAGGACAGACTTCATCTCCTCACACCAATTACTAAAGAAGAGTCTCATTTTACTTTGACAAAGCTTCTCACAATTTAGAGTGGACACCTGGCAGAAACCCTTACTTAGTCTGTTCTTACAGCAGCATCACGAGAGCATGCAGTTTGGCTACAGCCAAAAGAAACCAATAAAAAACGATACTGATAATGCTAGGACACTCCATCTCCACTTGTGTGGGCACACAATTCAGTAACACTATTAGGAGATGACAATCTTCATCCTCTCCCTGTGGCACAGGACTGCTTATCAGCTTGAGCAGTCATGAATACACACCTGGAGCTTTATTCTTTGGGGCCTGTTCTCTGGGATCCCTAAAAAAAGAAAAAAAAAAGAAAAAACAAAAACAAAACACAACATTAGGAGCTAAAAGACAAAACAAATCCTCTGATGACAGAATGAATGATAAAACTCACCCTCAGCATCCACTTGCTCACTCCACCACCAGTCAATAAAATAAAATAATCCAGGCCTCAGCTACAGTCATTGAATTCCAATATGCGTGCATGCACACACACACACACCCCTACACACACACCCCTTTCCTTTACACCACATAGGAACTTCTGTTCAATGGAAAACAATCCATTTTGTCTGTCTTGCTCTTGGAGACTGTCTATATAAAGAACTTCGAAAACTTTTTAAAGAGGAGAATGATTGATAATGAAAATTAGCATCTACATTTTTAGTGCAGAACCAAGAAAAATCTAGAAATCTTTTGGGCACACCTGAGTTAGATAGGTAAATATTTTAATTACTCTCAAGGCTTTAACAATTTCTTTTCTATGCCAGGTTTAGAAAAAGTATTTACATTGTATTATTTTATTAAAGAGTATCCCTGACCAATAAATATACAGAAAAAGGGTCATTATTGATGATATCAGCTAGTCACAGCGTCTAGTTAAAAATGCGCCAGTATTCTCTATCAGTTAAGAGTGATAAATGAAACTCTCTAGGGGAACAGCTGTGAAAAGTGGCTATCGGCAGAGATGAAAAGCAATATCCCAATATAAATTGGGTGGAGGAAGGCAGTCGCATGTACTAAAACATGGAAGGGAGTCATGTTTGAAATGGAAGCAGGTTATGCCACATTTATCAGAAAATTCTGTTTATCAAGACAGACGTGAATATTTTTAAAGCTTTACATTAAAAAAAATTCCCAAATTTTGAAAGTCTGATAAACAGAACAATACCAAAATTACCCAGGCATGTCTCTGGGCTGGAATGGAGCCTTTCTCATGAAGCTGGGCAGTGTGCCACTGCTGTATGTGTATCTCTACATGTTCCCAATTATGAAGACGAAGAGAGAGGACCAGCCCAAACCCCATCAAGGCTGACACAAAGCAGGTTCATGAGGAGTTTTTCTCTCATGCTGTGAGGATATGCAGCCACTCCATATAGTAAACAAATGAACTACATCAGTTCAGAATAAAAATGCCCTTACCTTCTGGAGCTTTTAGGTCCAGATAAAGAGTGGAAAAACACAGATTCTAACTTTCGGGCTTCTGGGATCAGCTTATGTTTATCATTTCGTGTATCCCAATGGGTTTCAAGGGTATTAGCTTTGGGCGAGACCTTAGGGAGGGGCTTCTGTTCCTTAGCTGAGGACCGTGCACTATTTTCCTTCTTTCGTGTCCGCCGGACTTTTCCAATGAAGAAGTCATCACCACTGTCGCTGTCCTCGGATGCAGAAGACTGTTTGTAGAACCTCTCTTCAGTGCTGTCGTCGAAGTACTCCTTCTCACTCTCACTCACCTCTTCCTCGCTGCCACTGCTCGCACCAAGGGTGTCTTCACTCTCTTTCTTTGCGGTTTTGGTTGAGGCTTGCTGTTTTGAGTCAGTGGATGACGCCTTCTGGTGTGCAGAAGTAGCCACGACATCCTTTCCTGAAGGCATCCCTGGAGAACATGGAGTGGCCACTGTTTTGGGTCCATGCTCTATTGTGGCTGTTTTTTCTTTTGAATCACTTACTGCTTTCTTTGTCACTGTTTTAGCTTCTTTCCCTCTCTGCTCCCTGAAAACAGTTCTCTCATGATGCTGTGACTCGCCTGCACCATCCTTTGAACACTGAGTGTCTTTACACTGGCTTTCTTCTGAAGTATTCTTTGATGACTGAGCTTCAGGAGCATTCTGCCTTGAATCTTTGAAGGCTTGCACAGCAGCTGCAAGGAATAGTACATGACTTTGTTTCAGCATTGGCACAAAGCGTCACTGTCCCCACAAAGTACTGCTTCAGCTATGTGGAAATATTTGAGAACTGGAATCTACAGTATGTATGGAACAGTCTGAGGTCACAAAGAAATCTTTTCATTACTTAAACACCAAATTCATAAAAGGAACACAACGAAATAACTGAAATATGAAAAGAAAATTACTTTCTTCATGGCTTTGAATTATGAAGAATAGTAAAAATATCATTGAAAGCAATAAAATGACAACATTAATTTATGTTAATGCCACTAATTAGTTTCAGGCCTAAAAATAAGTGGCATTTAATCTCTGACAAAGCACTTAATTTCATAAACATATTTTATAAAAGATGTATATAAATTATGTGACATAATGACTGTTATCAATATTTAAAACAACTTATTCAACATGCCTGTATATATATTTTCTATAATTTTTACATATAACAAATTTGGAAATACAGATTTAATCTTTTTATATCAAAATCTTTTATACTTGCAGACGCATGTCCATAGCTATATACACTAAAGATATTTATCATCTACCCAAAGTCATATATCGAAATGTAATTTAACTCCTACCTTTTAGCACATCTGTTTTTTTCTTTAGAAGAGGGTGAACTGCTAATCTGGCAATTGCTCTTTCAGTTGCAGTAGAATCTGGCTGAAAATTGAAAGCAATAAATATACATCATCAAAATTAACCTGTTACTATTGGAAGTGACTGAATTGATATCTATCAATCTTTGTATGTCTTAGGTCACAGACTTTGTAAATATTCTCTCTAGATAAGTTACCTATGGAATCTACTCTAAAGACAAAGATCATATTGATAAAAACATAACTCATCTTAAATAATTAAAATGTTACAATTTAAGTCTATAAAAACTTAAAACTGTGCCAGACATCATAGGTTCTGAAAAAAAAATCATAGCCCTTACTTTCAAAGAGTTTAAATGTCTAAGAAAATGAGGTTAATCAGAAAGATTCAATTACTGTATTCGTGCTATATCATGATGACAGTTAAGTAAGTCTCATTTAATGGAGACCTAGAATAATATGATGTTCTCTCTTCCAGTTTTGAATGTCTTCTTTCTTTGGTGTATGCTTAGAACACAACCCAGTACCTAGCTTATTACTAACACTTCACAAATATTTGATTACTGGATAGGAACATAGAATCATGTAGCACTTATTGTGTTCACAAATTAAGACATTCATGACACACGTCACTTTTTTACATGGCCAATGGAGCCGACCTCATGCACATCTAGCTCTAGCTCCACCCTGGGATCGGGCTGATCCCCACTGGCATGCTGAAACACTCCTAAGGTTCTCCTACACTCCTTTCCATTTCCTGAATACATTTCCCTTCTAGGTGCTCAGATAGATTCTGCCATCAGTTTTCCTTCCTTCACATAGCACAGGACACCTTAAACTTTAATCTGGATAAAAAAGGGGCCACAGCAGAAGATTCCTAAGAAGGCAAAATTTAATATTTTAAGCATTTCTTTAATTTTATTCCCAAGAAAGCAAACTCAACATCTCAAACTTTTATTAAGATTTTTCTTTGACAATATTTATTTCAATTTTAGAATTCAAATATTAACAAAAGACTATAGGCCAAGGGCTTTTTTTTCTCTACAAAACAAACCAACACTCTTGACTTCAAGATCATTTAATTTAGCCATGTAGGAACAAATTGGATCTCAAATTCAGTTTTGTGTATTTGGTCTAATATGCCCCGTAAGTTTCCTCTAATTCACAAATCATTAGCGACAACTGCAAATTATTGTTTAAAGTCCACTTTAAATCTTCTTAGGAAAAAAAAAAGAAAAAAAGACATTAGTGAAAAAACCAAACCCAACCTAAAGGCTTGCGAGTAGCAGTGGGCACAGGCCCATCTCTTGGCGGCTCTGCCATCTCCACTTGTATGTGTGCAGTGCAGGAACCAAGGGGCAAGGAACCCTGCAGACCCACCCTCCTCGCTCGAGTCCCTCTATCCATTTACAGACTAACTGTTGTGACTCTAGTTTAAAAGGCTAAAACATCTCCACAAATGACTAATCCAAATCAGAAGGCGATAAACTTCATCGGAGAGGGAATGCCACAGGGACACATAAAAGGAGCAGACCCTGTGCAGTAATTCAGAGCTTTGCGGAAGCCTTCACAGGGTTAGGCTGGATGAAGGAAACCACAGCTTTTCCTTATTTAAAACTGACACAATGTTTGCCATGGAAAATTCTCAGGAAACTGTGGTTTTTCACACACCTCCAGTTTCTTCCATTTCAAATAAATTAAACAAAAAAGTGGAAAACACCCTCATCCTTTAATGGAAAAATTTTATTTTGGCAATTGGGTATTTATTATTAACACAAAGGCATTTGTTATGCAATTTTGAAAAGAATTCTTCAAATATCCTCTGAATGAAAACAAGTGTCTAAGAGAGAAAGTTCACTTATGTGCTGTACTAATATCTGAAAGTTCACCTAAATAAGCTGTAAACCCATGGGTAGAGCAAGAATATGAATATTAATGCTTGTAATAATAAATTGGGACTAAGTTCAATTCCACTTTATCTAAAGAAATAAATTAACAAGTTATTATTGTCAATGCACAGCTCTCACCTTAGAGATTTTAAGAGGCAGTTTATTCTGGAGTCACGGCCCAAGCACACTGACTTAGAGAACCCCACATGGAAGCAGTTTCACGTCATTTTATAGTTTCAAAGAACAAAGACATTCGTGAATCAGGGTGCGTTAAAACACACTGGGGCACATCAGAAAGGCAGTCACAGTTAGGAGCTGTTTTAGGAGGTAAAGGACCCTTTGGGAAGTAAGGCCTACTGACTGGCACCACCAGTGAGCCTGGCGGTACAATGCTGCCTGCATCCATACTGTTTCTGGACCCATCGAATGTAACCAAGCCTCCCAGGAAGTCACTGCCATGGATGGAGAAACCTTAGCTACCATGCCTTCTACATCATGATGGACAGATCTAATGTTAGAGTCTGGCGGCAGTAGCAGCCTTTTCCCTTTTAGATATGTTAGTGCCACTGAGGCACTGACTGTGAGACCCTGGCTAACGGACTGCTCTCTGACAGATCCTGTTATCAAAGGAGGTGTTAGGGACCAGGTATCCAGCTCTTCACACCCACCCTGACTCTGGGAAACATCTGAGCACCTGGCTTGTGCTGTGAAATCACTCTCATCTTCAGAAAGTATAAGAGACTCCTACTCCTGACCTCAGGGGCTCTCAATTCTATTAAGAGAGCCTGTTAAGCTGTCCTCTCTGATGCTAGGTTCTGCATTCTCCTCGGAGACTCCATCATGCCGCTGCTGTATACCTGCCTATCTATGCTACTGATACTCTAGTATAAACTCTATATCTCCAACAATCCATCTCAGTGAACAATAGTTCCTTAATTTTTGAGCCAAAATATGTTCTCTCTCTGCTTCTGCAGTACTTTAGAGATGAGAAAAGAAATGGATACATTCCAAACACAGAATGTTTTTGTCTTTGTTAAACATATAATATAGCATATGAAAAACAATGATAAAAAAAATGGAGGGACTGGAGAGATGGCTCAGCAGTTAAGAGCACTGCTTCCAGAGGATCCCAGTTCAATTCCTAGTACCCACATGTCAACTCACAACTGTCTGTGATTCCAATTCCAGGGACATGCAGGCAGAGACAACAATGCACATAAAATAAGAGTAAGTAAATATTAAGTCTCTTAAAAAAAAAATGGGCTGGGCGGTGGTGGTGCATGCCTTTAATCCCAGTACTTGGGAGGCAGAGGCAGGTGTAAGTTCAAGGCCAGCCCAGTCTTATAAGAGCTATTCCAGGACAGGCTCCAAGGCTACAGAGAAACCATGTCTCAAAAAACAAAATAAACAAAAATTAATAAATAGAAAATCAAGAAGTAGAAACTGATGTTTAACATCACATACTTGACACTTTAAGTAGGCAGAGGGCAAGATGAATCTGTCAATAAAACAACAACACACTCCTTTAGCACTGCAAAGTCACTGGACATTAATGACAGGAAGAGATGAATTCTGGGGGAAAGAACCGAGTACCAAGAACTAAAAGAAAAGATATTTTACCTTTTGGTAGTGATGTAAGTTAATCTTATAATACTTTTCACTACTTTATTTAGCTATGAGAATTTGGTAATGGAGATAGGAAAGAGGGAGCGGGCAAAAAGATATCAGAGGCGAATGCCGGGAGACAATGAAAGAACACTAAGCAGTAAGATGAGGCACTCCACACTGGTACTGTGTCTCTACCACACACATACCTTTTTGCAAGTTTTTTCAAAGTTGATATCATCACCAAGAGCGGATTTAGTTATGACATCAGGTTTCAATTCCTGTGAAAGAAAATAATTCTAATCTATAATCATTGTGATTTAAATTCCTTTTGTATCTTGATTTAAGAAACCTGGTATTTAAAATGTTAACTTCTAGAAAAGGAATATAATATCTATCACAGTTAAGAAATTACCACACACTAGAAAAGCTATGACAAACGCCTATAAGTGTTGTATCGATTCTGCTCACATAAAGACTCAAGTTCAGTACATTTTCAAGGACTATAGGTAACCCAAACATTCATATGTAGTCAGAAAGTCTTTAAATATCAAGTCTACAAAACAAATACAATAAATAAATAAACAGTTTTGAACTTGTAGAAATGCAAGGAACACTATATACATAATCCTCTGTAGAGGGGGACTCTAAAAGATGAACATCACCTGGGCGAAGTAACTTTATTAGCAATCCTTGAAGCGAGTATGGATTTGCAGGTTAGGAGTAATTGTAGTGATACAGAAAAAAAGCACAGCAGATGAACCCATTACTATGACTACAAAGAAAAATTGCAACTGGAAAAACAGCAGAGGAACAGAAGGAGGTTGTAGAGGTCATTACTTTATACATACAGTAAAGTGGCAGGAGCCAAAGGATGCCATTGAAATCGACAGACTATAAAGAGAGATTACCCAGAATACCTGGGTTCAATTCTCAGCATTGCCTCTCACAATTGTTCCAGCAATATAGTACCCTCTTCCATCCTCTACAGGTACCAGGACAGAAGTGCACATACACACATTTGTATCCATAACACTCATACTCATCAGAGACTACTTAAGAGATTAAGAGCACATACCCCTCTCCCTGAAGAGCAGAGTTTGATTCTTAACACCCCATCACATGGCTCACAACTGCCTGTACTTCCAGCTGCAGGGGATCTGATTGATACTTTAGCCACTTCAGGAAACTGCACTCACATGCACATGATTAAAACTAATAAACCATGAAGGGCCAGAGTTTCCGAGGAGAGACCAGGAGAGGCTACTGGTCAAAGTCAGCCCACTTGCAGCAGAAGACCCCAGCAGTTTAGAGATGCCAGTACCATGCCAGACATAGCAGCAGCAGCAGCAGTAGCTGTGGAGTGGAGCCAGTCTGAGCCGAGGAGACAAGTTGTGTGTGCTGCATTGAGGAGCTGGGAAAGTGACCCAAGACCTTTGAAGTAGTCAAAATGATCATGAATGACTCCCAGACATTGGGCAGCAGGTTGTTTTCACTGTTGGGAGTTCGATTTGTGCCCTAGGTTCCTCCCTCTTGAAATAAGAAAGCACTTTTTATTTTACAGAAGCCCAGACACTGAAATTTTAAATAGACTTTGGGTGTTTTAAAGAGACTTTTGAAGACTATGGGGCTTTTAAAGTTATTTGAGTTATCTATTTGGTGTGGGAGAATTATCTGTATTCTGTCAATCATATTTTAATAAAACGCTGATTGGCCAGGCAGGCAGTATAGGCAGGAAAGCCAGACAGGAAGTAGAGGTGGAGCAAAGAGACTGGGAGTATTCTAGGAAGCTCCTTCTGCCATTCCTGCGCAGACCACCGAAGAGGCAGCATGTAAGCTGTCACGCTGAAAAAGGTACCAAGCCATTATGGCTAACGTAGATAATGATAATGGATTAATATAAGTTACAAGGACTAATAAGAAGCCTGACCTAATGGGCCAATCAGCTTTATAACTTATAGAGATCTCTGTGTGATTGATTTTCTTTGGGGTATGCCGGCTGTGGGGTACAGGGCGGGACAGAAACAAGCCGGCCCTCATGCTACATCTATTAATTTGACATTTTAGAGATAAATGAAAAAGGGTTTCTATTTAAATAGTGATGTGCTTGCATATGAAATCGACAAGGCTAGTTTCACATCAACTCGACACAAGCAAGCACTATTTTGAAAGAAATCTCAATTGAGAAAATGCTCCCACTAGCTTGGTCTGACAGTCGTATGTGCTGTAAGAAGGTGGGCTGAGCAATCCATAGGGACCATGCCAGTAAGCAATGGCCCTCTATGCCCTTTGCGTTAAGTCTTGTCTCCAGGTTCCTGCCCTGACTTCCTTTGATGACAGATTGGGATGTGGAAGAGGAAGTGAAATAAACCTTTCTTCCAGAGTTGCTTTTGGTCATGGTGTTTTTATCACAGCAACAGAAACCCTAACTAAGTTAGTAGATAACTGAAGCGGTCATGAAACATACATGCAAAAACAAAGGCTTAAAAAATATCGGTTTTACATAGGTACGATAATCTATAAACCACTGTCTCTTATACACAATATTAACCCAACTTACTCTCTTCTAGCCAGTTACTCCTCTATTCTGCTTTCAGTTTCATCATTTTAGAAAACACAATCGCTCAAAAAACTTTCAAAACTCGTTAAAATGGAATGAGTCCTGCAATGTAACCACCTGTTGGACCTTTACATCTCCACTCATCCCATAATCCAGTAATGATGGGCACCTTACTAAAGATATACATAACCGTCTGCGTGATGCCACAACCAGGGAACTGAGATGGAAACTAAACAATGAGACATAATAACATCCATTCTGGAGAAAACCGAGATAAGTAAAAATTAAAAATGATGTTCACAGAGTGCACTGCACAGTTCGGTGTACCAGAGCTAGAGAGAGCCGAGAAGCCCTAACTCACCATGCACTGACTGATCTGCATGCTGTCTGCAGTGCATTCTCCTTACCAGTGTGCTGAGTTCTATGTAGTTCATATTTAGGCTTTTAGTTCTAAGTTAGTGTCTTCACTCTGTGGCATCTCCCTAAAATCATGTTAGACACTAAACTAATCAATCATTTCTCTAGATGTGAGCACCTTAAATTATGTTTGTTTCCAAGAAAACAGTACACTGACAGAAAAATTAGAAAGCTACAACACACACACACACACAGTTTTAAACTAAAATGTACAAAGCCTACGTATATAGCATGGAATTTTATGAACTTTCCTAGAAACATCCTCTTTCATTTTAAACTTTCTTTAAAGTTTATGACAATTTTATGACTAATCAGACATATGATCCTTAAAAACTAAGATGTTTTCTTAGACTGTGATGAGTAGAAGAACCCATGTTCCCCAAACCTGCAACTTCTATTATAATGTACTTCAACAATTATGAGGGTTTAAAAAAAAAAGCAAAATTCACTCCATAATTCAACCCACATAAAAATGATAGATTAAAGGTTTGGCTGCTTTAGAAAGGAAAAGGGAGAGCATGTAAAGGAGATGTCTACAACTTTACTAGAAATTGCCAGAATTAAAAATTGGAGCAATTTTCCTTGCTTGAAATAATTTCTATTTTATTCTTAAAGACTTATTTTTGTATGTATGAGTGTTTTGGCCAGGTGTTTTTTTTTTTATTAACAGTCGACAGTGCTTTGAACGCTTTAATGGTTATTAGGAAAATCCTGATAGAGGAAAAAGTTCAGATTTCCAGAATTACAAAACTTGAAATCATGTGCATGCAGTGCCCACTGAGACCAGTAGAGGGTGCTGGAGGCCCTAGAACTGAAGTTAGATTCAAAGCTGCCACATGGGTGCTAGGATCTGAACCAATGTCTTGTGAAGAGCAGCCAGTGTACTTAAACGTGGAGCCATGTATCCAGACCCTATAAATTTTTATATTCAAGAAAAACATACACTAATGAGCTTCTCTTGCTATCACAAAATATTAACTCATGTGCATAGTACTGATGTGCTATAACATACAGAAAAACCAGAAGTACATGATTTTCATCATAAAAATTGTAAGTTTATATGTTCAAGTTGATATGTGTAAATATTTGAAACTAATCTGTCTCTGTGTTGCATGCTTTTTCTTACTTTTGAATCCTAAAATTTATAGATACATAAAATGACATATGTACTAATGTGAGAGTTCCTTCTGTATGCTGTGATTACCGTCAATGAATACAGAAACTACATTAGACCTATAGCAGGGCAGAACTTAGCTAGGCTGGGAAAACTAAATTGGATCCTAGGAGAAAGAAGGGCAGAGCAAAGAGAAGCCATGTAGCTCTGTTGGAGATAGAAACTGGAACTTTACCGGGTAAACCACTGCCACGTGGCTTTATACAGATTAATGCAGATGGGTTAAATTTATATGTAAGAGTTAGCCAATAAGAAGCTAGAGCTAATGGGCCAAACAGTGTTTTAAATAATATAGTCTTTGTGTGATTATTTTGGGGCTGAGCAGCTGGGAACTAACAAGCGGCCTCTACCAACAATGTACTGATGACTTTAGAGCAGAAGCAAAATTGTCCGGGAACCATGGGGAAAGCTGACAAGAGGGATTTTAAGCGACTCACAGGGAATAATATGTACTAAGTACATTGTGTACTCGCATGAAAAAAGTCTTATGTTACAATATATAATTTTAAAAGATCTGTTTAGGGGAACGGAGAGGGGGTTCAGTGGTCAGCAACAGTTACTGCTCTTGAGTTGGTTCCCATCACACATCTGATAGCTCATGACTCAGTTCCTGGGCTCTGCTGCCATCTCCCAGCATTCAGTACCAGGCACATAGACGTGCGGGCGAAACACGCACAGACAGGAAAAACATGAGTAAACAAATCTTAAAAACACAAAAAACCCCTAAGCTTAAAGTGTACAAAACAAAAATCTGTTTCCAATTCACCCCCAACTGAGTTCATACCCATTTATAGGAATTGAATTTACTGCTGCTTTTCTCAAGGATCCTTTGTATTTTATTGTTGTTTCCTACAAAATATGCTGGTAATAGTTTCTTCTTTTTCAAGTACCCATCTTACTGGAGTTATGATAGTATTGCTTGTTCAAATTTTTTACATTAATGGTTGAAAGTGCTTCGGATGCTTTCATGGTTATTAGGAAACATCCTGACAGGGTGAAAAGTTCATGTTTCCAGAATTACAAAACTTTAAAAAAAAAGAAATCAAATAAAAACAACACCCTTCCCCCCCATTCCGCCACCCAGCACTTTCTACTACTTCTAAATCTTTTGTACCTACTCAGTTGAGAAGGAGGTTTACTCAAAATCTTGGTGTGCAATGTAACCTCATCAGTAAGAGTATTTTATGTTTACCAACTCATCCTGCAGCCTGGCCTGCTTCCCCCAGAGACAGGAAGTTTCAGAGGACAGACACCACTTACATTTGAAACATCTGCTTGTATTTAGAGGAGTAAGGTGAGGCCACCATATGCTTGACATAATGTCCTCATTACAGGACCTACAATGAAACAATATTAAGGGATCAGGAATATGGCCTACTCAAAGCTCAGACTTTTAACTGAAGAAATTGCATTCCAGGAAGCAAAGTGGGATTCAATTTAAAAACTACTTTTTAAATGGTGTTTCCGGAGTATGAGCGGGGCAGTATATATTGATATCTACACATACCGCCAAGATTTCCTGTTGATCATTTCAAAAGACACAAGACTTAGGGGTCTTGTCCACTTTAAGAAGAAAAGTTCTATGTTTTAACAAATGAAATAGGGGCTGGTGAGATGGGTCAGTGGGTAAAGAAACCAAGTGCAGAGACTCTAGTTTGATCCCCTTGACCTACATCACAGAGAAACACGACATCCAATAACTTTAAGTTGTCTCTGACCTCTATGCATCTTCCACGTACTCACACATGCAAAAACAAACAAATAACACTGCAAGAACACAAAGTTATATGGCCTTAGGACACTGACTAAGGTGACTTTATACAATGAAGAACTAGCTTTTTTTAATCTTTATATTTCTGACACTTAACACTAGTAAGTAATTTAAAAAAACCACTCAATTTCATATTCTTTTAGCAATAATAGTTTAGCATCATTTTACTTATGTCTAGGAATTCAGAATAATCCCAGCACTGTAAGTACAGCAAAAAAATGCTGCATTAAAAGCCACTTAACCACCCATATGCCAAGCGCATCACTACCTGTTAGGGGAATTAACTGAGGAAGCCGACTCAATAGTTTAAGACACCATCCTTGAGTAGGAATGCTGTGAAAACAGACCACAGCAGAAATATAATGAGCTATACTGAGAGGGTCAATAGTTCTGGAATCAGAACGGTAGTGCTGGGAAAGGTTTCTTAGGACTAGTAACATGATGAGTAAGGTGTTAGGGACCAGGGAGATGGCTGAGTAGGTAATGTTGCTGCCATGTAAGTAGGAAGATTTGAGTTAATCCCCAGGATTCACACAAAAAGCCAGTTAAGTTTGTTGTATTATCTTGTTTAAGTTTTACCTTTTTGGTCTCCAGATTAGTAACTTGGGGATCTTTAAGTTGATAAGCTGCCTCTCAATGAGAAAAAACTTGTTTCAGAAGCCAGTATGTACATTAACAGCTTGAGAGTCTGAATACTATCAGAAACAACATCAGAGAAGGATCCTTAGCACTATATAAAATTAGAACCTATCATTTTACAGAATCATAAAGATCTGGTCCCTGTATCCTACACTGTGGCCAAAAAGAAACTACTCCCTCTTCTAAAAATATATGGGGTTTTCTCCATGAGGATGACATCTTGCAACAAAATACCCTATTATCATACCAAGCAAGTATAAGACAGTATGTCATGAGCACAACTATTAAAGTCTAGTGGTACATGAGCTAAAGAAACAACTCCTCTGGAAAAGTAGAGGTTCTCCTCCAAATTTAATTGTTTGACTGAGAATCTACTGTTTTGTGGTTATTTCTTTGATACTCCCATATGCATGAAAAACACTTCCTTATAAAATTATAAAAGACCTTTCAACTGAAAAAATGATAAACAAATTTACCCCTTTCAAAAAAGGCAGGTTCTGTCAAAGTACCACAAATCAGAAATGCACTTTAGCTAAGTAAACCAATAGTTGATCTAGTATTCCTAGTCTGGATTTTTATATTTAATTCAATTACTGCCCTATTTAAGTCAATACAAAAAGAGATTAAAAACAAAAGAAACAAGATAAAAGACAGACTGGCCAACCCACAATACCCTAATCCCCACCAGGAATTCAAACATGTATACTATAAAGTATATGAATTCAGTACACAGCCAGCGAGCTGTGTTTCTCTGTGGTAACAGCAAGGGTTCCCACACAGTGCGAGAGACAGGTGTAGTAACACTGCAAACATCTCTAGGGTCTGATTTCCCTGTTGATGAAACCAAAGAACAGAAAACAAGCTTCACATACAGATCAGATACGACAACTCGCTAACTAACAAAAGCATATTATCGAGAGTTACAATATGCAGGTGTTCTAAAGACGAAGGAGTCACTTGTCACTAAACTCCTTACAAACTGCAAGTCACTTACGAGTACTGAATTCTTCTTTCAGAGAAATCAGCAATTATCTAGTGGTTCAAAATCTGTGAACAACTAAAACTACAAAGACTAATACTTAGAAGAAATAACACGAAGGATCTATCAAATGGATTTTATATCTGATAGTCCTATAGGAGTGACAAGTACTAATAAATATGGGGCTCTTCATCCCAAAGAGTCATTGCCCACCTCCATCTTTATAGTAACTGGGATAACTGCATCCTACTCAACACTTTCTTATTCCTTAAAAAGGACAGTGAATAGCACTGATAATTCAACTCAATTAAAATATTGTTAAAGAATTCTTTTGCTCTTTTATCTAAACCAAACTTGAAAGTTACACTAAATTATAAAAGTCAAACATACACAGAAAATTACCCTGCAATTAAGATAATTGCTGGGACCAAATGTTGTTTTTAAGTTCAGCAATAAAAAAAAGTCTTCCAGACATTTAATGGTATGTCATTTTGTAAATGAAAGTTTCCATAAAGAAAGGGCAGCAAGAAGACCTAAAAATTATGCTAGTAAAGAGCCTCGCTGAAAAGGCAACAATATGAACCATGTTGGTTCAACAACTACATTTATTTTAAGTTCTACAGAACCTAATAAAATGTTGACACCACTACATAAAAATTTATTGAGTTGGCAACAGGAGAAGCATGATGTCAGCAACCAGCACCACTATCCCTGTTTCCAAATAGCACAAACCCTTTAACTATTGACCTTAGTTTAGAATACATGCCTCGGTAACCGTAAAAATAAAAGCCTTAGACATGAGGCATCATAAAACACAAATGAGTTTAGTTTGGCAGTTTCAACTCAACTTAGTCTAGGACTTAAAAAACAGGGAACTATCAAGCTTACACATAGCACAGTCTTGCAAACGTGCCACTCATCACCAAGTTCAGTCACACAAATAAGCCTTGAGCAACCCAGGAGTCCTTAAAGAGGCAGCATGCACACAAGATCAGGGCTGCCAGGAGAAACAGCACACAGCGCCCACTCGCATGCCCTCACCTTCATGGCGTGAATCTCCTCCAGCAACCGCTGGGCTCGTCTCTGATTTTTCAGCAGTGCATCCTCAGTGCCCCTGTAAAGAGACAGTTATTACCAAGGAAAACACGAGGCTTAGAGACACGTCATAAACAATATTTTAAGTTTTTGAGAAAACCTATGTGACAAGCATGCACCCTGTACTGTTGTTTTCAACCCCCTACCACACACACCTACTGTCAACTGTGTTGAAAACCGGACAAGACCCAGGCTATCCTGGAATCATTTCACTGGCTGGTGGATTTCTCTAGTCTTTTAATGACAATGTCAGTTACAAAAACCGTGAACAAAAACTCTGTTTAAAGTAATAAAAGCCTCCTAAGACACAACTAAAGGCAGGACATACTTTTATTAATTGAAAAATTGTTCTCTGGAATTAAAGAAAAAAATAAAGATGTCCAGTATCTAATTAGAAAGGAGGTTATCTTCTGGAATATTTATGAACAAACAGAAAACCACAAACCACACATTTGAAGGGTTTCTAAATCTTTGTGCTTAAACCCTAAGAACTGCAAACAGCTTTTCAATGACACTCCTGATGCGGGAAATAAAAAAAATAATCTTTTACTCAAAAACATCACAGTATATAATAAACTGACAAATATTTCCACAAGATACAACCAATTTCAAAATACTAGGACAAAGAAAAGTGAATGAAATAAAGTCATAACCAATACATCTTAGACTTACTAACACACTGAAATAACTTCTAGTTATATAAAGCACATAAGGAACCCTGCAAGCAATTTCTATTTGGAAGGAGGAAAGGGAGAACTTTCTTAAAAATGGAAGATATCATTCTGTATCTTAAGCGAGAAAGGTTCAAAACATACATATAAGGCATGCTGAACAGCACACTCTCTCCACCCTGCATCATCCCTAGATCATATCTACACAGAAAACTTCAGAGCTGAGTGCATACTCATTCCTCTAACTTACAAATATTAAAAATACTTTAGATATTTTATTAGTTATAGGATTATTACTTCACACAACTAACTTTTTGGACTTCAGTCTGCCAACACTCCTGACAAGTTTTCGGATAACCAAAACTCGGACTCGCTTCACTTCCTTTCTCAGCTTCACAACCTGGGGGGAAAAGACATTTGAGTGTTATTACAAAGGATCCGACAAGCTCTGCTGGACATGCTCAGGTGGATGCAGACTCCTTCCATAAGCAGTGCAGGAACACAGAAATAAAGACTAGGTGCCGGGGATGGAAGGAGAGCCGCTAGGATTGATGCTGTTTTTACAGACACAACATTTCTAGCAATTAGCATTTTACTGTTATACTCAGGATTGAAACATACTAAATTATGATTTTTCTATGAGAAATACCTTTCACCTCTGAGATCAAAGACTCATCTTTATCATTTTTGATATCACACCTTCACCTTTCTTCAACAGTTTCATGGCACTGCTTGGATGTTCAGGGCTTTCTCTCAGTCTCTGGCCTCAGCGTGCTTGTACTGACCATCTCAGCTGTTACCTGAGTCTTCTTGAGATAGGAAAGAGTCTTCCCATGAGCTTGTTACCATCTATTCTTCCTGATTGGCTCAACATCATTTATGAAGGTCACAGATTTCCTATTATTGCAATTAAAGGCACCTCTACAACTTACTACAAGAACATTAATGTCTTACTTTTAATCTAAATATGTTAATGTGTCTTCCCCCCAGATAAATTCCATGAAAGTCAAAAATCTTATTTTACTCAACATTCTAAAGATTTAAAATAATACAGGGTATATAGACCATGTTCAACAAAACTTGCTGAAAACCAGAATAGAACACACCTTTTGTTCATTTACTGCTTCAGATGCCTACTATATTAAAAGAACATAATCACAATCTTTCCCACTAGAATACAGCAACATCTTTGAAATTTTCTTTTTGTTTTTATTATAGATTTTCTTTGAGGAATAAAAAAAAACCCACAAAAACCACTATCCATGAACACAAAGTCTTTTATTGCTTTTTCTCACAAGCAGAAGGTAGGCACTGTGGCTACATCTGCAGTCCCAATGCTTGGGATGAAGTGAATGAAAATGCCACAAACCTGACAGCCTGTACTGCATGCCTGGTCTGAAATAAGCCGGAACTACAGAATGAGATTATTTCAAAAAACAAACTAAAAATTGAGAAACAGAATCATAATGGGTTATGATACATTGAAAAATTAAGTCATTTATAAAAAAAAGTACTAACACATGTCAATTTACATATTAAAATATTAACACATATTCCTCAGTGCTTAACCTTGCAGGCTTATGAAATGATAAAATAACACTATTAACAGCAAACTTAACTAATATATCTCAGCAGGAAGAGCTGGTCCCTAGTTACATTCCAATTACAGGAAAGCTAGTCTTCAACTTTAAAACTCTGATTTCAAAAGGGGTATGCTCGATATTACTTGGTAAGAAATTCTAAGAACAAAGGGAATGCTTTTTCCATAATCACATTTCACACCAATACCAAACATGTTTTTCTTGTTTAACTTTCTCAGTATCCATGTACAGGCAACAGACAAATTTGAGTATAGCATACAATAAACATTCACTATATATAAAAAAGAAATTTTTGTTTTAATCCCTACTGATTACTCTAAAAACTTAGCTTTACTTTTGTAAAACATTACCAGTGGCATTTTTGTGAGGCCATTAAAGGTTATCAATTCATTTGTCATCCAGGAATTATGGGCTAAGCTGGCATGTATGTGGCAGAAGGCCGTCATAGTTTGGCAAATTCTCTAACCAAAAGCAAGCAGAACTGGCTGGTATGTATAGTGGCACATACCTATGACCCTGGCACTCAGAGGAGAGAGAGAGAGAATATGCTCTGCTCCTCCCAGTTCCAGAGACAGTCACATCTCACACAAGTGTGTGTGACTGAGTCACAAGGGTAAAGGTTTGAGTGAACGGCCCTATTGGGGGCTTCCTTCTTGTCTAGCAAAGTGCATAGTGTTGTCATAAATGTACTTACTCTTCACTGAACTCAGCTATATGGTCTGCATGTTCCAGTGTAACTCTAGCCATAGCAAGCCCAACGGCAAAGTCAAGGCTGAGAACAGGAAGCTTATCATCAACAGAATGGCCATGACCATCTATCAGGAGCGAGATTCCACCCACATCAAATGGTATGATGCTGGTACTGAGTATGTTATGGAGTCTACTGGTTTCTTCACCACCATGAAGATGGCCAGGGCCCACTTGAGGGTGGGGCCAGAGGGTCATCATCTCTCCCCCTTCTACTAACACTCTCATGGTTGTCATGCATGTGAACCATGAGAAGTATGACAGTTCACTTAAGATTGCCAGCAATGCTTCTTGCACCACCAATAGCTTAACCCCCTTGGCCAAGGTCATTCATAACAAGTTTGGCATTGTGGAAGCAATCAATAACAAGTATGGCATTGTGGAAGAAATCATGACCACAGTCCATGCCATCACTGTGACCCAGAAGCTGTGGATGATCCCTCTGAGAAACTATGGCATGATGGCTGTGGGCTGTCCAGAACATCATTCCTGTATTCAATGGTGCTACCAAGATTGTAGGGAAAGTCATCCTAGAGCCGAATGGGAAGCACCTTCTGTGTTCCTACTCCCAATGTGTCCACCTTGGAGAAAGCTACCAAGTATGATGACACGGAGAAGGCAGTGAAGCAGGCATACTAGGACACACTAAAGGACATCCTGGGCGACAGTGAGGACCAGGTTGTTTCCTCTGACTTCAATAGTGATGCCCACTCTTCCACCTTTGATGCCGGGGCTGGCATTTTTCTCAATGACAACTCTGCAAAACTCATTTCCTGGTATGATAATAAATACAAATATAGCAAAAGAGTTGGACCTCATGGACTCCAAGGAGTAAGGAACATTGGCCCACCCACCCCAGCAAGAACATGAGAGCAAGAGTTGTTGCTGAAAAGTCCCTATCCCAACTCAGGCCCTGACACTGGGTATCTTCCTCACAGTGTCCATCTCAGAGACCCAGAAGAAGGGGAGAGGCTTAGAGAGCCCCACTTTCTTGAATACCATCAATAAAGTTTACTGCACCCACAAGAGAGGGACAGAAAGACAGAGAGAGTAAGAATGAACAAACTACTCCAACCAACCCCCAACCTCACCTAAGATAGCTACACTATAATGCTGTTTGGGAGTGAGAAAGTAGAGATTAGGTAAAATAGGTAAGGAGATAATAGTGGAAACAAGAAGACAACAAGTAAGAAGAATTCGAAGAGAGAAACTGAAGTAAAACTCTATTAACTCATCATTACTCAGGCTGATGATTCCAAGCAGCAAAAGAAAGCATTCAAAATGACCCCTTAGCAGACTGAAAATTCACAGTGAGAGTGTTTCTGTGCTGGCAGTGAGCTATGACTGAAATTTAAGCAACTTACATCACTTCTTGGATAAATAACACAATAATACAATAAAGTCAAACCCTAGCATTCTTATTGAAAAAAGAACAGATGGAAAGCCAACTCAAAGAAGAGAAATGAAGAGAAGGAACCACAAACAAGCAAAAGCTGATCATGAAAGGAAGGACGTTCTGTCCAAAGAGTTCTCTAGTTATGCACTAAGTTCTTTCTGCAGTCCAACATTCCATTGCTGGTAATGATCACAGACAAGGAGCAGTGTTTTGCAATGTGAACATCCTCTCTACATTCCAAACATTCCTTAATGAGCCACTCTACCCATGTATACTTATATAAGCTATGCATCTCTTATAAGCTAATGATAAGCCACTTGTGAGAAAAAGAGCTATATTCTGGGATTCATGATGACTATTTTTTAATCTGAATTGACTCTTGCTGACTATCTGCTATCTAGTAAATTAACTAATACCCAAGTAATGCATTACTTTGTCATGTTCTTGGATTAGAGCAATCTTTAACAAAACTGATAGTTATTAGGAAAAGCTGAGCACATCTGTGATTTTTTTTAGAATACATTATAATTTCTGCTTATTCACTCTTGGATATACAGAAATCATAAACCTTGGATCACAGGGCTGGGGGAAACAGGCATGCTCAGAAACTGCTGATAGAAAAGGCAACTACTATAGTCCTTATGGAGGAAATTTTGGCAATCTTTAATAAAAATCCTACATCTGAGAGTCTATTAGAAGGCATGTTTCAACAGTAAAGAATCGCACAATGCTTTCCATGCTCCACTCATTAGAAAATGTTTCTTAGGATACTATATATATATATATACATATATATATATATAAAGAGTACACAAAAAGGACATACGTATTTCTATCACACATGCAAAATTTAAAAATATTTATCAATACTATACACTAGCTATAGAAATGGTACAAAAGAATGAGACATATAGGTGAGAAACTACACCAGAAGAGTAATAATTACCTCCAAGGTAGAACAAAGAAGCTGGTGTTTTAAGTATGATGCAGCAAAATCCGAAAACTCTTAAATAAAGATAGGTTACAAAGTCTTTTTAAGTACTTCACATTTATGAACCTTATTATGCCTTTATAAGGAAACTTTAGGTTAGTCATCTAGATTATAACTTATTGTTGGATTATTTTTGATCAACAAGAATTTCAAAAAAAAAATCTAAAATGATGCATGACTGCCTATGATTTAGCCACTAGCGAGCTTATGCTGCCATCTAGCAAAACTCATGGGAACAGTTAACAAGCAAATAAGCTGGTGTGTTTTTAAGATGAGCAGGTTTACCACTTTAATAATTTTCAAATACTAAGCACCTATGATAAAAACATTTTGCAATGTCATACCTACATGCAAAAAGTTGATATTCTTATTCAAAATACATGGAAGAAAGTAAATGCATTTAGCTTCTACCTTTCAATAGTTCCCTCCTTCAAGGGGAACATTTTCTGATACCCAAGGATGTTTGAAACTACAGGTAGTTCAAAATCCTGAGTTCTTTCCCATATATACATATGTATACATGTGTGTATTTATTCTTTTATTTATAAAGTTGATGCAAAAATTTTAAAAGGTAAAATAAAATAGATCAGTAGTAACATGTCATAGTGAAAATTTTCCATTTCATGGTCATTATTAAATATGGGTTTCTTGCACTGTGGTACCCTGACAGCCAATCAGGTCCCTGAGAGATCAGGGATCAATGAGTGGTAGCATGTATAATGCAGGTACCCTAGAGTAAGGGGTAAGTTACTGTGAAGAGGACAGCACATGGTTTCATATGCTGCTCTTAACAGCACACATGAACTCAAAACTTAGAAATTACTTCTGAATCTTATAACTGAGGTTACCTCAGATAATCAAAACAATAAGAATCAAAACCACAGATGGAGGAGCTCATATTACATTACTAGCTTAAAAAAAAATTTAAAAGACTTACTATTTTGTACCAAATTATAAAATTATATCACCTTTTTCTAGGGAGTTTCATGATGCTTCAAAGGGTGGTATTCTACCAGACTGCCATACCCCAACCCCAATCTTAAATATATATATGCCTCAGCCAAGGAAAGCGATGAACAGAATCAAGCTAATTGAAATTCTATAAATTCTTTACCCACTAATTGTCACAGCATAGACACTTCCAACTGTGCATCCCTGTTTCTCTAGTTCTAATGGGATGGGAGGAAAAAAAAGGTCAAAAATTTCAGAGATTTCTTTTTACCTCTCATTTCAACATAGTTTTTGGAGTTCACTTTTCACAAGACATTCTGTAAATTGAATATATTATAAAACTCATTAAATTAAACAAAATACATATAATAATTCTATAATAACTGGCAGTACTGGGGATTGAACCCAGGGCCTTGTGCATGCCAGGTAAGCAGTCTACCATTGAGCTATATAACCAGACCACGATATACCTTTAAAAAGAAATCAAATTAAAAACAAGGGTTACTAATCAAGTCCCGGCTATGATTATCATTATCTCAAAGACAAAACCACAAAGGTTTGTTTACAAATCTTTGCAAATTTGATAAAGTAGAAATGTGCCATACCTCTCTCATACATAAAACTGACAAATCTTTAAAAAAAAAAAGGGACATTTACAAAATACATACTGAGAATATGATACGGAAAACTATAAAGGTAGGCAGAAGGGACACAAAGTCTCTTTCGCACATATACGCCCACATAAATGCCATTACAAACGCTGACAAGGAGAATTAAGTGGTGCTTCCAAACGTACACAAAGGGTAAAAGCTAGCAACAGCTTCCTGAGAAAGCTGTAAGTGGGACTGGTGAGAGCAGGGCTAGCAGGAGCCAATGCAGCTGAGTACATGGTTAACAGGGACAGGAGAAAACAAGGCGGACAGGTGTCCTTATGTTGCTCAATTTTATCCAAAAGTAAGCCAGTGGGTTTAAAACACAGAAACGATCTCTTAAATCCGAGCTGAAGAAAAAACTGAGCAGCAGGTAAGACGGATCAACAGCATCAACCTCAGTAGCTAGGAGGAGAGCAGCTTTGTCTGGGAAATACCCTGGACGGCCACAGCAGCAGAGACAGAAGCAGGTGTGATACACTGAGTCTCAACTTTTCACATTTGCTTCCCTTTGGGGGTAAGCCGCTGCCAAATTTCTAAGAAAAAAATGTCATGTCTGAGGAGCTTTTTCTAGGCAGTCATCTTTGTTCTTTCTTTCGTCATGCTTCTCAACCTTTATGTAGGTCAAGCCACAGTCATGTGCACAAAAATTCTGAAGCTGTGACATACACAGGACAGTGGTCACATAATAATTTATCACCAAGTGATAGCGATGTCACAATCATTAAGGATTTTGTGGCTCAACGACAAAATTAGTCAATGCCATGAATTTTCGAACCTGTTTCCACTAAGTGACTCACGACTCCATTTGTATTCTTATTTTGACCTCAATGATGACATCAACATGTCCACTATTTTCTGTCCTTTTTATTCGCTATCTGTGAGGACATATTAAATCTAAATTTGGGATATGTATGATTTCTCATTTGTTAAATTCATCCAATCACCCATAAAACAATTTTAGAGCATGTTATGTGCCAGGGGAACATCTCTACATGCACACATGACAGAAACAGGTGGTCACATCACTGAACGCAATCTGGTTAAAATCAATCAGTGAATTCTTTCTAATGATCTTACTTAATTATTTTGAAAAAGCCTACAAGTTGCTGATGTGGAAAAGGAACGTTGCTCGACTGACTACCTGACATCGAGACCCTTGAAATCAAAACCGGACCTAAATGTAACTATCCCTTTCCCTGAAGATCTTTACAGTTCAGACATAACTTAATGAGAAATGCCCACCGACAATTTTCTTGCACAAAACACAAGCTTAAATGAGTGAAAAAACATCAGGAAATTCGAAATACCTTTTTTCTCCCTCTTTGATACCTTGTACCCCATTACCTACTGAAATGGCCAGGCAGTGGTGGGGCACGCCTTTAATCCCAGCACTCGGGAGGCAGAGACAGGCATATCTCTGTGAGTTCGAGGCCAGCCTGGTTTACAAGAGCTAGTTTCAGGGCAGGCTCCAAAAAGCTACAGAGAAACTCTGCCTCGAAAAAGCAAAAACCAAAAAAAGAAAAAAAAAAAAAAAGATTCAATCTGGCATACCGTGACATATTTGTTAATTCTCACCAGTGAACGTTTTCTAGCCATATATTATTCAGTTTCCTACCACCAACCTTTTTCTGCTTAGAAGAGTCCCTATGCCTGCAAGGCCTTCCAATGCATTATTACTCAATTACTGTCTGCAATTCCTGTAGAGGACTCTCTGAGAAGATTAAGGACTCTATCACACATCTGACTTTGCTCTTGCAAAAACGTCTGCACTATTATTTGGAGTTATTCCTTCATTCTCTATCACAGGTTACTGGAAAACAAAAAACAACAAAGAACGTCCTACACAGCTTTATACTTGGGACAGTGACCTGCATCACGATACGCAGTTGTGAGGTGTCCGTTCGAGTCTCGTTCCTCCAAGCTTACTTACGTTGTTTGGGATGCCATGTGAAAGTTGGTAAAAGCATATACTGAAAACTCTTGGTGGGCCTGGCAAGACTAACACACTCCAGCCGAGGTGGGTGTGAGACGGGAATTAAGCACGAAACCAGGGAGAGATATAGGGGACAAGCGAGTGCAAACGGCTCTTAGAGTTCAGCTGTAAAGGAAACAGACCAAGGGGACCGACACTATCAGGAGAAAGAGAGGTGTCCGGAGTGCGTACAAGGTCATTCAAGACCTGTAACTTGTATAGCAAACTGTGCTGCAGTTTGAACTTTCTTTCCTTCCATTCTGACAATCAAGAAAATGCAGGTTTACTGAGAGCTTACCCAGGGCCAGGCACTGAGCTCAGCAAACTTAAATCATACCAGCTTATGAGGAAGGGACTACCGTGGAGCTTCATTCTACCGAGAGCAATTAAAAGTGACCGAACACTGAGTGTCCTCCCCATCGTCTCAGGGACGGAAGTGTGGGGAAGCTGAGACCAGGGACGCGACCCGCCGCGCGTGGCTCCTGTCTTCCGACCCGACGGGTCCTCGGCTGCCGCGCTCCCCACCCACGCGGCGGGAGACCCTGAAGGCGGAGAGGGGGCCCTACACCCCATAATCTCGGCCCGCGACGCTCACCTCGTTATTGAGGTTGAGAGTTCCCGGCTGAGGCTTTGCGGCCGGAGGAAGAGGATCGGCCGCCATCTCCACACGTGAACACTGAAGGTGACACTGCGGCTGCGCAGGCACGCCCACCGACGGCGGCCTCTTCCGCCCAAAACTCACCGTCCTGCGCGCAGACGCCTAAAGAAGAGTCGGGAATCTTCCGGCGGTACCGGAAGTGGGAAGGGCAACTTCCGGCGCTTGAGCTACGGGTCGGAATGGAGCGTTTCCGTGGAAACCAGGCAAGCGAGCGCTCCAGTGGGCGTGGTATTAGTTGATGTTCGCAGTGAAGGGATATTTTCCCGGGGATTGTTCCACTGTGTTCCGTTATAGTTGGACAATACTGAGGAGGAGCGGAGAATGTTTTCCTGAACAGATCAAGTTGCTTGAGTAGCCGATTTTGCTCAGTTCTAAAATCTAGCGCTTGTGAAGATTTTTTGCTCTTTCAAGGACATTTTTTTAAGAGCCTCCCTCAGTGCCTTTTGTTTCCTACCGGCCGAAGCGCGAATATGTGGAAAGACTGAGTTTTGGTACAACGGATATCTGAAGTAGAAGAGGAGCATTTGTTACTCCCTGTGAGAACTGTGTTTGAAGAGCTGGGTCTGTGGGCAAAGAAATGTAAAACGAGACTCTGAACTAAATCAACTACTAGTTACACGTCCTAGTAGTGACCATTATAAAGGAGGATGTCCTGGGCCAAACGCTTTACACGAATTAACTCCAGAATCTTATCTTCATAAAAACAAACAAACAAACAAACAAACAAAAAAACCCGACATCGAAATTAACTGCCTTGTTCAAAGTTCCTAGCTGGGGCTGGCCACACACACGACTTCAGGTACCACTGCATAGAATATGGGGTCCACTGCAAAAACGGAAATGCAAGACCCCCTCATTTAAAAAGCAGTAAAATGTTTCTTGCATTGTGTCTCCACTAATAATAATAATAATAATAATACCACCTCATGAAACTTCTGTGGTGCCTTCTCAGTTTTCTCAACTACAAGGTTACAGAAATACCAGTATGAATCCCTAAAGGTGGTTGCTATTTTTGCTTAAGACTCAAGAATATAGTTCGAACAAGATGGTAACAGTAGCTGGGTGGGAGTGTTGGTGGAGAAAGCTAGAGAACTCATTGGGTCAGATTGGATTGGGCAGGACAGCATATGGTCAAAGACTAGTGGAACTGAGGGGCCACGAACACGATCACCAGGGACTCAGTTTTCCCTGTCTTTGGTTCCTTTTTTGGGGGGAGGGGGGTTCTAGACAGGGTTTCTCTGTAGCTTTGGAGCCTGTCCTGGAACTAGCTCTTGTAGACCAGGCTGGCCTCGAACTCACAGAGATCCACCCACCTCTGCCTCCCAAGTGCTGGGATTAAAGTCGTGGCCACCACCGCCCAGCCCTGTCTTAGGTTCTTTAAAGGCCCGGAACTCTGGCTGTGTTGCTGTTCTTAGGCTGATCTAACAAAATCCCACAGGCTGGGAAGATTACACGACAGAGGTCTGTGTTCCCAAACGTTGCCATTAGGGTTCATTTCCAGGCTCTCTAGTTACATACATCTAATTTTGGCCATATTCACATATGACTTTTATTCTCTGCACATGTGGAGAACTCTCTAGTGTCTCTTTTAACAGCCACAACCTTCTTGGATTAAGATCTCACAGTAATGATCTTAAATAGCCTTAATTACTCCCACAAATGTTTTATCCCTAAATTACATCACACTAGGGATTAGAAATTGAATATATGGATGAAGAGTAGGCAAAATCAATATTTAGTTCAGGAGGCACACACTTAGATTGCTTCAAAGCAATCTTGACTTCAGGCCTTATTTTCAATTCTATCTTTTTTTTCTCAATTTGTAAATAGGAGCCATGTTTGCAAACACATATAACCTAGATATTTGGCATTAGGAAATAATAAAAAACTACATTCATATATGTGTGGACAGCTTTTAAATAAAGTTAGGAAGGTAAATAAGTGGGCAGAATGACAGTCTTTTAAGCAACACGTGAGTGAATAATCATCTGTATGAAGCACTGTATCACAGCACTCCAAAACTAACTAAAGAAACTGCGTATACCAAAATGAGAAACCTCAGACTTTCAGAAAATCACTTAGGTTACAAACCCTATGGCTTTGTATTATGCAATGATTTCTTAGATGCAAAAAAAACCGCACCACCCCCCCCCCCGCAAAAAAAAACTCAATTGGAAATATATTGATGAATTACACTGAATCAATGACACAACTTCTCCTTTCCAGGGCACACCATTAGAAGAAGAAAAGCCTATGTGGGGAGAAGAATTTTGTAAATTATACAATGATGTCATTAGTTATCTTTCTTCTGCTGTAAGCACAAGCCTCGTGGTATAAATTCTTAGCCACCAGGACTCTGGGGAGAGATGATTTAGCCACTTTTAGACCCACCTGTTCTCACCATAACCAAACTTCATAATCTGAGTTGAAGATAATATCTCAAAGTTAAAAACAAATTGAGGCCATCTGGGCCTGAATTGGTAGAGGACAAAGATGACGCCCTCTCAGATTTTTTGTTCTCGGGGTACAAATCAACCAGGACCCCTCCTGGTGCCAGAGGGTACCATCGTACTAAATGCTGCCCTAGGTTCTAGGCCTGGGTACTCAGAGCAATGGCTCTGAGTCCTGTGGCTCATTCAAAAAAGCGCCACCTGTGACCCAACCAAGATCCTCGGCACTGGGTGGTTGGGCACCACTGTGGTGAGAGAGTACAAGGTGGGGAGGTGCAAGAGAGGGAGAAAGGGAGAGGCAGACTGGTTAGTGGGCTGGGGAGACAAACAGATCTGGAGAGCTGAGAGTGGCAAGGAACCAGCTGATGTACATGGCCAGCTGGTCACCCAAGCCCAAGAATATTGGGGCCAGATCTTGGTCCAGTGCCCTGGAGCAGCTGGGGAGTGCCTGTATTGATGTCTGTGGTTCCTATTATCTCTGGTGGATGTGCAGGAGCCTCTCGTCTAAGTTGCCACCTGGGGCCATGTTGGTGTCTGAGGGCCATGCTGCTGCAGGGGCCATGCCCGTTCTGATGGCCTGCACTGCCATCTGGGACCATGATGACCCCTGGGCTCAGGCTTCTTCTTAGAACTATGTCTGGGTGTATGGTCTTACCACAGCCAGGTTCTGTGGTTCGTGTTTCCACCAAAGACCACAGAGATGCTCGGGGTCTAGGCTGCAACCTATGGCTATGAGGGTGTCCAAGGGCCATGTGCACCTGGGGCCATGCTGATCTGGATGGCCCAGGCTACCACCTGGAGCGACCTTGGGCACAGGCCGTTGCCTAGGGCCCTGCAGTGTCAGGGATTTGAGGTGGTGTCTATGGCTCCTGTGACCACCGAGGGCTCTGCAGATGCCTGGGGTCTGGTCAGCCACCTCTGACCATATTGGTGTCCAGGGGCCATGATGCTGCAAGGGCTATGTTGATCTGGGGTGGCCTTTGCTGCCGCTAGGCCATGGTAGCGTCATGACTTCAGCTCCTTCTGAGTGCCATGTCTGAGTCCGTGGGCCTGCTGCTGTTGGGGTCTGTGGTGATGCTCATGGTCTGTGTTAGCACAAGGGTCATTGGAACCATGCTGTGCTGAGCCAACCATTCATTCACTGGCTCTGGGATACCTGGCCCTGAAGAAGGAGAGCTGCCCCTACTCCACAGGGGAGAGTTCCTCTCATACTCAGGAAAGATAGCCCCACCCCACAGCCTTGCACCTCACCTGGGCACTACACATCGGGGACACAGGTGAGAGAGCTGGCCCTGGAATGGCAAGAGTGGGAGAGCTAGCTCTGTTCCATACCTGCTGTAACACACAACACCCACCAAATCTTTGAACTGTTGGAGCATGTGAAGGGGATGAACCTACAGATTCAAAACAGTACCAAACCCAGGACAACAGGATATCCAAGAAGAGCCCCAGTAAGAGCCCTGGAATCAGTGGTGTGGCAGAAACCAGAGAGCTTGGTGTCAATGAACACTTGCAAGTAAAGACAATGAACTAAAGGGTAAACTGTGTGACTCAACAGGCCACACTGTGGCTTCCATGACAAGATTCTTCTTCTTTTGTGTTGGTTCTGGTTTTTCTTTTAAATTTGGTTTTGATTTGGGGACAGTAGATTCGAGGAGACAGGGAGATGAGTAGGATTGGAATGCATGATGTGAAATCCACAAAGAATCAATAAAAGTTAAAAACAAGCAAAAAACCAAATTGAGAGGAAGAGGTCACGTCAGAATGTTTCAGCAACTATAAACTAGAACTATACTGGTGTTATGTAAACTCTAATTTAGTGACACTAATTACACAATCTGAAGATAAATCCTTTAAGTATTGTTACATAGTTTCCACCATCACATGACATGAACCTCCAGCTCATGAATCCCTGTTTCCAAGACTCCTAGAAAGACTTCATCCTCTCTAAATTCTTCACACTTCAGTTGAACTAAAAACTTTTACTTGAACTTTCAACTTTTATCTAAAAAATCAGCATATTGAAATCCGTTGACAGTTTCCACAATAAGCTCACTTATTTTAATTGCATACATTGTAAGAGCAAAGGAATTGTGCCAGTTAGGAGGCCTATCTCATTCAGTGACTAGACTGTGTCTATCTGGGCAAGCTCAGAAAGGAAGTCCACATACAAGGAATTACTTCTGAGCTGATTTTTCAACAGAGAGAAAAGAATTGGATACAGTTGCTGTGGAGAGGAAGAAATTTGTTATGAAACCTCTACAAGTCATTTTAGTAACAATCAAGAAAACTTCTTTTGTCAGTTTTACTGATATATGTAAACTCTTAAATACATCATCAGATCAACCATCACCTTGAACATTTTTTATTGGTACAGTTTGGTAAAAGTGTTTCTATAGCTGGTAATAACCAACTTGTAATCAAAGGATGACTCCGTAGAAACAGAAATAAAATATCTAAAGATATTTCAAGGAATACTTGTCAAACATGCTGACCACCAGACCCAATCCTGCAGATTCTCAGTCCTTTGTTGTTGGTATCAAAACCGACTTCCGGGCTGTCACAGGCAAGCAAAGTTCAGCTCCCAGCCAAAGCTAACTAATT